TTTATGTAACGCTGCTGACTACTGTTAGAATTTCTGAGGCCTTTGACCGAAATTCTTGTCTGCCCAAGGCTTTGGAACTGCCTCTTTGAAAGCTTTACGATATACATGTGAATTTATTTTGACGTTACGGTCCAAAAATACATGCTGATATCGTAATCGTGGTGGCCACTAACCCTAGAAGCCCAATCTATTTGGAGCTTACGTGAAGTCTTAGAGGCGTAGGTGACTTAAAAGACAACCCGTGAGCTAAAATATTAGTTCGACCCAATTTTTTTTTAAATATTGAAGTTGTGATGTAAGCTAATAATAAAACATAGTTTTATTAATAAAAACTACAACCACATTTATCTAAAACAACAAAGTATAAAGACACTTTTTTACTCCGTATACGCATCGCGGACGTAGATTGGGCTTTTAGGGTTAAAATTTTAGAATTTTGTGTTGACCTCTGGCAAGTAAATTTGACCTTCGCCAAATGACGGTGTCGAGTATCTCAATTAAGTGATGCTCCGGGAAGGGGCCGAATTACCACAGAGCCACTTACGCGCAGCTTGCAATGTTTTCATGAGACGTTTGAAGACTACAATTCAAACTGAAAACCACTGATACAGTTTTTAAGATAATTCTCTTGTTAACTCTCATAAATAAAGAAAATATTGGAATTTTTTTTCTAACACTTAAATTGCCATACCCTGTTGGTGTCTACGGTAATTCGGTTTCTAAGGATGCCGGCAACTACTGAAAACAATTAAATTGCGCAGATGATCTTTGACTTTGACGCACATCGGTATACCGATGCGTTCACAAATTAGTGACGAAAATGACTGTAACATGGTGTAACTTTTTATTTCAGCTACCGCTAACTTCTTAAGTTCTAACGACTTTCAAACTTTTGTTTTATATTCTTATTGGTACACCCCTACTCCCTCTCATAGCGATCCAACAATAAAAAACAACCAGACAAAAATATGAATTAGGGCAAATTTTACAGTTTCGCACTCACTCAGTTTTGCATTTTACAGTTAGCTTTTACTTAGTTGGAAGTCAGATGACTTTTCTATATTGTAATTTATTCAAGAAGTGATCACCAGTAAATAATATGGTTAATCAGGAACCATAAATGTAAATAATAGATTTATTGCGGAAAGGTGGGTTCGCAGGAAAAGTTTGCAACAAATTGTGGAGTTTGCCATATGAAAATGTTAAGACTGAGAAAAAAATTTAGCCTGAAATATTCCCAAGGACAAATGAAGTCTGTCAAAAAAATATTACGGTCCGATATCTGGTGAACTTGGCAGCAAGTAGCGATGCAGCCACTATTTCAGTAGCGCTTAAGGTATTAAACTTTAATGTAAATCAGTAGACAGCGAGGCGAAGAATTGTCAAATTGAGCGCAAAGGATCATAAAAGAAAAAAGCAAATTTGATCAAAATACAAGGGCGAGTGTGGCAGCATTTTGATACATCGCACGAAAACCTGACCGTTGCCTATTGGGATATGTTAGGTCTTTCAGAATGCAATAAAACACACATTTTTAAATTTCAATTGAAGGTTATTTGGTTTGACAAGACTAAATTAATCGCTTTCAATCAGATGGCCGGGCATGGTATTGTATCAAAGACCCAAATTAATCCGAAGCGCATCATGTAAGGCAAACTGTGAATCACAGTGGTCGGTCAATAATAGTTTGGCGTTGTATTTCAAAAATTTTGTTGGTCCATGTGTTTACAAATTCTTTCACATCTCACAAACAAAAAGAAATAACAATGGGCGACAGTAAGAGCAAATGTGTGCTACCATATGTTTTAAAAGAAAAAAACACCGCAAATAACTGCACATAATCACGGTATACACTTTTCCTACTTGTAGGTATGCTAAATGCATATAATAAAGCCCCTATACTTTTAAAGTGCTTTTTTTAAAGAGTAAAATTTTTTATTACAAATTCCAGCCTGCTGCGTTTTTTTTATAAAAATCAATACTTCGATAAATAATAAAAAATTACATATTTTCGCCTACGGCGTTTTTTTTTTATAAAAATCAATACTTCGACAAATCCTTAAAACTTTTAATAAATAATTGCGCGATTTTAGACTGCAGCGCTTTTTTTGAAATCAGTACATCGATATATAATTAAAAAATAAACGAATTATGTGCGTTTTTAATCGACTTCCAAAAAACGAGGAGGTTATCAGTTTTATGCCTGTTACCGCATAACTTTGGACCACTTCCACCGATTTCGATGAGTCTTTTTGCATCGGAAAGGTAGTGTCTCACAGGTGGTCCCATAAGCTGGTTTAGATCCGATCATTGGATCATGAAATATATATATATATATTTCATATATTATATGAGAATTTTATGTATATATATATATATATTTATATATATAATATGAGAATCACATATATATATGAGAATTATATATATACATATATATATATATTATGAGAATTGAAGTCGGTTTTGGTTTTTGCTTAAAAATTACTTGTTATTGTTTCCCGTCTTCAGCGGTTTCGTTTCTGTTGCATTTTTTGTTGTGTGGCAGCACCGACATTTCTGTTCAATTGGTCTACAAAGTAGAGATGGGCACGGGCCTAAATTTGAAAAACACGCACGAGCCCGCACGTTAAGAATTTTAGTGCGGCCCGGCCCGGAAATAAAGAGCCAACTTTTATTGTATGTATGCATATGTACTTATTTTTAATTTTGTGCTTATGTATGTATATTTACTTAAGCGAATCAATTTTTCACATCAAAGATTTGTATAATATATTTTCTGGGAAGTAAAAAAAGTGGAAGGTATTTTATGTATAGATATATAAACAAAACTACTAAGTATCTTATTTTTTCCATCGGTATACATATATTTCTTTTTTTGCTTTTCTCTTATAAAAAAAAGAGGTTTAAATATGTACTATTTTTTTTTAATAAAAACAAAAGCTTATCTAAATTTGCAGTATTAGCAATGGGCTTTTTCGTGCTTATTCGTGCTTTTATGAAATTTTACTGAACGCCCATGCACGCACGATAATATTCCGGCCCGGCCCGTGCCCATCTCTACTGCAAAGCAAAAAGTGAGGTTTAATTTGACATTTTTTCCAACTTTAAATGCAAATTACTTAAAAACTATAAGCCTCCGGAGGGGGAGGTTTTCGGATGTAGAATCAGAGGAACCCGCTCTACACCCCCTCTTTTTTCCAAAGCGTGGTTCCGTATTGGAAAATTTTTCCAAGGCATCGGGCTGATAGGCGGTTTTTTGTATAGCTAATATTTTTTTATCGGATGTTTTAATAACGAATTTTATGTATACTTCTCGATGCCTGGAGTTCAGGGCTACCAAATCTCTTTTTTTTTCACAACGGTGATTAAGCTACGGCATTTTGAGACACAATTTGGGACGAACTGTGAGCAATGGAGCAATTTGTAATTAAGTTAAACATTTAAAATATATTTGTGGCGTGAACTTGTTTTGCTTACTCAACATTTTTTGGTTTATTTAGAAACGGCTCAGCAGGATACAAATACATTGGCCCGTAGTCATAGTCAAAATAAAGTCGACTTTAAAGTTAGTTGCAGCTTTTTTGACAGATATCCCATTGAAAATTATGTCAAAAAGCTGCAACTAACTTTAAAGTCGACTTTATTTTGACTATGACTACGGGCCATTATGTTTTCAGGTAAATAATGTTCTGTCTGGCTTACATTTATAACAATGCGTGGTAACAAGTACAACACATTATGGCTGTTGAGGATCTTGTGCATATGCGCTTGGATTTCCATATTCGTTGCATTTGTAAATTCACAACAATAAAAGGCGCACGATTGCTATGGTAGCAGCATAAAATTTGCAAATGCAATTCCAACTGCAAATCCAAAACCATTTCCACACCATCCTGAACAGCCGTATTGTTTGGGATTTGATAATGGGCCGTATGAATAAAAATAAGCAATTGCTTTTTCTTAAAATTTCAGATCTTTTACTCAATGAACACGGGCTTATGCGCTGCATTTTTATGTGTGTTTTTCTCTTCTGTAAATGCATAATGTTAAGGTACTACATTAGTATAAAAAAGACTAGAATTTTCGTATAAATAAATCTGAAGCAATTGGAGTGTGGTTGTTAGTTCGACTCTAAACTCGAAGCAGATCATTTATATTATGTTTTTAGAAAACACAATCGTCCACATTGAACATTTGGAGTTAACTTTGACGGTTGTTTGATTACCAATAAAAATTCGAAAAAAAAAATATTCAAAATCAAGTTTTTGTGTTTCAATTTGTTTTGTGCGAATGTCTGCTTCATGATATTAACGCATACGGATTTCTTAGAGACTTCGAATTGTTTAGTTCGTATGCATTATTTATCTCTGCGTACGATGAGACCTCATGGGAAATAACTAATTACCGCCTTTGCCTCTTTTTTGGCGGGAAGACATGCATACAATTTTGATATTTTTTGATAATTTTTAATATCTTTCAGAACAAATTTTTTGAACGTTGGCGTGTCAAATGAAAGCTTTTGGGTCTTTCTGATTGGCTGGAGCAGAAAGCTTTCTGATACAACTCCGCGCAGAACTGGTTTTCAAACGAGTTAAATGATTTAACTGGTTCAATTTTCCAACAACAATTGCAACCGATTTAACTTGTTTATGAACATGTTTTGTTCATTTAACTGCTTTAAGCCAATTTAACATGTTTAGCTCGTCAATTCGAACGTAGTATTACTTTATATAAGGGGTATTCACCTTGAGCTGATAAGCTTAAACCAACGAATGTTGCTTGAGCTAATGCTAAGCAATCATTTATTTTGAAATGATGCAAAAACTCGTACGTAAACAGGATAATCAAATTTATATAGAAATCATAAAAGCAAGTTTAAACATGCTTGATTTATTTGAAGTAATTTGATCGAAGCTAAGTAATTTATGCTGTAATATGAACCTTACATTTTGAATTTTGAAAAATATGTTTCACATAAAAGTATCTTTTTTTTCCAGATCCAAATGGAGCGAAAAATAGACAAAAAATTAGATAGCTTGGAGAAATATGTGCCATTTATAAACTATATTCTTGAAATTGATCGAATAAAATTCGAGAAGTTTATAGATATCAAACACTGGATTATGGGACGAAAAAGGTAATATATATGAGTTTCTAAATTTTTTAATAGTTTAGTAATTAGTACATATTATTGAATTTTTTAGACTTCCTATGAATGTGCTACAAAAGATTGAGCAGTCCATTTTAACACAGTACAGAAATCTGTTTTATGATGGCGTGGTGAGTTACTTTGATACAAGAAATTAGGTGTGTACTCGTATTGAGAGGACAAAATTCTCCAAATTATGGTACAAACGAAAAATGTCATACGGCAACCATAGTCAGCACACACTAAAGTAAACAAACTGGAGATTAATAGCAAATTAGCGAAAAATAAACAGCAAACGTTGTGCATATTAAATTTACTCACTTTTTCGTTGTATACTAGCATTAATAATAAAATTTGCAATAAATAACTCAAAAAGTCCATATTTTCTTTTGTTTATTTACAAACATGTGTTTGTGATCAGCTGATTTTCTTACTTGCAAGTTTTAGCTGGGAAAAATTTTTCCAGCAGAAATTTGCAGCTCTCTTTCACATTTTGCTCTCTCAATTTCCCCTACTTTGCAAGTTTTTTGGGTACGAGAACGCAAAACCAGTAAAAGTTTTCTAAAACTTTAGATAGTTGGGCGTACGAGTACACTCCTATTAATTCAACCGAGAAATGATATTACCTCTCACATCGGTCCAGTAGTTTATTGTACACGTTTTGATCTTTCTTGTTATGTAGCTGTCTTATGATATATCGATAAGACGCACGAACGATTCGGCTGCGGGGGAAAGCTTCAAAAATTAGTCCGGCGGCATCATTTTAGGCGATTTAAACGTAACCGAGACGATTGGAACCTTATCGACGTAAACCAAGACGAAGACGACCGATAGAGTAATAAAATTGCAATCGGAGAAGATGTTGCTTGCAGACGAATCGTTCGTGCGACCTATCGTTCGAGATACATAAGATGACGGTATATGTATATATTTTTTTTGTTTCAGAAATTTCCAAAACATATTATGGATATTTTTGATACAGACTCTAAAGTTAAGTGCTACAGAGTAAATTTATGTTCCGATGATGAAGATAATGCCGAGAATTCGTCGGATGACGATGATGATGTTATCATCGTTTCAACATCCCCTGCTCCACAAGAAGCTGTGAAGCCGAAATCAGATAATATCAGTCAGTGTGTGCAGGACGGAAATCATAAATCACCCACATCCACGCTAGAACACGGTGTAGTGGATGATCCGATTTGTTTAGATTCCGATGATGATGAAGATCAAAATCAAAAGGGAGTGGTAGCCCATAAAGACGAGTTTCTTGTTGAAGAGAAACTTTTTAAAAGAAGAGAAGATTTTATAATTAAAATTGATGATGACAACGAAGCCAATAAAATGCAAGAAGGCGAAGCTAATAAAGCTGTTGAAAGAGAAGTGAACCAATTTGATGAAGTAAATGAAGCAAATGTTATTCCAGATGAGATGCCAGCCAATGATGTTGATCAAGAAAATGAAGCAACTGCAATTAATGATGAAAGCGCAGCTCTTGGCCTACAAAATGTGGTAGAACAAGGAAACAATGCCCAGCAAGAAGAAATTAATACAAGCGAATTTTCAAAATTCAGTACTTCTAAAGTTACCGAGACAAATTTAGAGAATCTGGATATCGAAAAGCTGGAAGAAATCTATGATGAATTAACAAAGGAAAATGGAATAGATGTTAAGCACCTGTTAGAGAGTATAGAATTGATCTCATCATTGGATAATGTAAATAAGGCGTCTAATGAAAGCGTTACTAATTTTGCCGCACAATACGAGAATGTATGTGTACCTACGTATCCTCAAGTTCAAATGCAATTAACTGAAATGCAACGCCACGCATTTAATATGCAACCTGTGGCACAACGACCTCAGCCGTTTAAATTAAACTTAAAGGATCCACGGATTGTCAGATTACTAGAAAGAAATAAAAATTTGACATTTGCTTCTACGCAAGTCACAAATGACAATAGCAAAAGTAATTCCACAACAACAAGACAAGAACCAACAACATATGGTGAATATAAACGACTGAAAGCTGAGCAAACGAAGAAAGTAGAAGAGGCCAAGAGAGCAGATGAAGCGAGAAAAGCGGAAGAAGCAAGAAAAGCTGAGGAAGCAAAGAGGGCGGAGGAAGCTAGAAGAGTAGAGGAGCTGCGAAGGGCAGAGGAAGCGAGAAGAGCAGAGGAAGCGAGAAGAGTTGAGGAAGCGAGAAGAGTTGAGGAAGCAAGGAGAGCAGAGGAAGAAAGGAGGGCAGAGGAAGCCAGAAGAGAAGAGGAAGCGAGAAGAATAGAGGAAACGAAAAGAGTAAAGGAAGCAAGGAAAGCAGAAGAAGCAAGAAATGCAGAGGAAGCTAAGAAAGCGGAAGCATTGCAAAAAGCAGAGGAAATACTAAAAGCCGAGATAGGAAAGAGAGTGGAGGAAGCGTTGAAAGCTAGACAGGTAGAGGAAGCAAGAAAGGCAGCTGAAACGGCAAGGGTAGATTTGGAAAAGAGATTAGAAGAAGCGTCAAAATTAAAGGAGGTAAAGAGCACCGAGTTAGAAAAGAAAACAGAGGAAGCAAGGAAGGAGGCGATGAGAAACTCAAATGAAATTGGGAATCATTTAACCTCATTCAGGACAAACAGAGTAGATGCGCCAAACCAAAACAGCGAAGTTTCCAGTAGCTCTTCGCTATCGATTCTTTCGAAGTCTTCACAGTTGCCATATCGCAATGAATCACCTGTTGAACCGCAAACGGATTTGAGAAGCATCATTTTGAATACCATACTGCCATACGGTGATAAGATATTAGATGTTCTTAGGAGAGAGAATACCTTACAGGTGCTAAGTGACACCGTTGCAAAAATAAGTACGCCAGCAGTAAGTCAGAGGGAAGTTAAGCCTATTTCAACGGTGAATGAACGCAGGTTGTCGGAGAAAAGTTCCGAACAGAAAGGAAAAACTACAAGGGGAAGCGATATACAAACTCATCATTGTCAAAAAGTTCATGCTTATGACCAAAAATCAAATGAAATTTTTTCGGAAGAGAAAAAAAATCTAAAAAGGTCCCGCAAAATAAAAGAACCTAAAATTAAACCCTCTTATAAAAGAATACGAACGATTTCATCTTCTTCATCGGTATCCTCATCGCTGTCATCACCGACATCATCTCCAATCTCGAATGCGTCGTCCGCGCTTACACCAGCTTGTGCGATGAAAACAAACCCGAAAGCAAATCCAGCATTGCTCAGCGAGCCGATTGTGAAATTAAAAAGACTTTCGCCAAAAACTATTTTGAAATACACAAAGAGGGCAAAAGTATCACCTAGCATCGACAATGATAGTTCGAAAACTATTAACATCCGTTTGGTAGAAGATGTTTCGAAAACAAAGAAAATGTATCGTGTCGTTGAGCCAAAACCAATAAAATTGAACGTTAAATACAAAAACGTCGATATTTTAATGACGAGCGAAAATACAACTTTTTGCATTCTTTGCAAATCGAGGCCTAGTGACTTAACTAATCACTACAGAAGAGTGCACAAAACTGAATCATATGTAGCGCGATTAAGTAGATCGGCTTTGAGTCTTCTGGAAACTAATACTCCATTTGCACAAAGCAAATCCAAGGGCACAAATTGCAAAATGAAAAAATATTTGCTAAAATGCGTATTCTGCCAGGATGAAGTAGAAGATAAGTTTATAAACTTTTACAAACATTTTTCAACCCATACAGGCGAGTATGCCTTCCAATGCAGCGTTTGCAATTTGGAAAAACCTTTTGAATTCGATATTCAGTCTCACAAGTGTCATACCAAGTCTTGCCGGAATGCACGTGTAAATACCCTTTATCAATATCCACCAAATGCCCTGGTTATATATTTATATGGTTGCAAAATATGTAATTTTTTGCAATTAAATGAGGCCAATACATTCAAGCATTTGCGAGATCACCACGATAAAAGGCAAGATGATTCTAATTTAATTCGCAAATACATCTTGGCAGCTGTAAACGATGAGGAAGTGTGCGAGGCGACCTCTGAACCAGATCCAAACTTTGATTTCCTGAAAGAGGATGAGGATATTTTGGTTCGAAATGAAGCACTCTCTGAGGATATGCTAGATTTCCACAAAATCGAAAATGGACCAAGCGGATATACCAAATCCACCTCGTTAGGTGAGCCGCAATCCGTCGTGGAAAATGGCAGAGCTATCAATACAAGTATAGGAGGAATGGTGGAGTTACCAACTAGCAGCTATATTTATAATGAAAATATAGACAGCGCACTAACTAATACCATGGCTCCGAGTATGATAGATGAATCACAAACAATTATTCCTTCACAACCTGCGCAACGAAATGATAAACGGCCTGCACCTTTATCATCCATGGAAAATCTTGTAGGCGTAAGCGGCGCGTCTCATTTGGAACTCATAAAAACTGAACCCCTCGACGTATTGCCGTTGCAAAAGGAAAATTATGACTACAAGAAACTGTTAAATACCTGCCGCAAAGTCCATCGCCAATATCCGTTTGGAATTTCCTACTTTGGTTTATATAAGTGCATGGCAACTGACTGCTTATTTTCAACGGATTTAAAGCAAGAAATCTTACAGCATCTAAGCGAGCATCGAAGAAGTGAATACCCACCTGAAGGATATCTGCAATGCGCTTATTGTCAGCTGGATGCAGAGATTTGCAACACACCCGAAATGTTGATTGAACACATTGACAAATGTCATCACCGTTCGCAGTTTCAATGTTCAGTTTGTTGTTATCGCGCTTCGTCGCCGAGTTATGTGTTTTTGCATGAACAAATGTTACATCCTTTTGTGCTGGATAAATTTGTATATAAATGCACATTTGACATAACGTTGGACTACAGCATACCATACAATATTACAGATTTATTAGAGGAAAACGTGGAACCGCTTATTTGCCCGTTTGAAGGTAAGACTTCTTACTGATTATTACATTTATAAAATTGCTTAAACTAACGTTGTTATTTAAATCCCATAGACTGTTTTTACAGTTTTCAGAGTTTGAGTGGGATGCAAGATCATTTGATGAGCATGCATTCTTTGCCTGTTAACAGTGCATCTGTCACAGGGCTTGAAAAATATGCATGCATCTATTGTCAAAAGAATTTTCATGACATTGACGGCGTCAAAAAGCATTTAGTTTTGTCACATCCCGACCAGCAGCCGTATGTATGCGAGAGAGTGCTTGTGATGGAAAAGAAGGTAATTGATTTGTTTTCTTGAAATTTTTATATTGTATTATTAAAAGTACCGTTGCTTAAAAGGACAATTTTAAAGTCGATCCCATGTCAGGGCTCTCACTTTGATGATTCGACAACTGCTCAACTAACATAATGACGAACATCTGAAGACTTGAAACTGAGTAAGCTTTTGCCACCAGGAAGTCCGCGTGCAATGCGATAAAGCGCGATGACAGTGGACATTTCATTCGTTGATCCCACTTCGTCGGACCGACTATTCCCGAGCTTTTTTTTTTGTCTGTAAATTGATATTCAGCCTCGTAGCGTACGCCGTAAATTAGACTAAAATGCACGACTCGACAACATTGGCATTGCCTATTGTCGTGCTGAAATAAGGAAACGACGAAAACTGTCGAAAACTATCGAGTGCTGCCAAGTTTTCCCATTTTAATACACTAGTCGAATGAAATTTTTAGGCAATGCCACGTACTTTTCGATACGACTCGACCCTCTAAAAACGACTTCCATTCGACACGAAAATCGCAATGAGACTGATCGTATCCTTGGGAGGAGAAGGTAAAGGCATCACAAACACTCATAACTTCGTGCGTCTCCCACTTTCATTAGTGCTGGAGCCTTCAAAGCCATTGGTCCTTACGAAATATGCATGTAGATGCTAATGTAAACTATCATATTTGCCCAAGGTTCAAACTTGTTATTTACCCCTCTCGTTATGTATGTAAAAATCAGTGAAAGTGGTTCTGCCACTAAGCCTGGGAAACCTGCCAAAAAACGAGGGTATTATCGCGAAATAAAACTCGTTTTCCCATTAGTGAATACATTAAAGATCAAAATCTAACGCCATGAACACTCAGGTACCTCGTGGCTAGGGTGTTCCATTATTCGCCTTTTTCCCAAAACCGAGGTCCGAGTTATTCGAAAAATAGCAATTCGAAAAAAACCGGTCACAAAGTTTTCTACTTTCACGAAATTATAACTGTCAACAGTGACGTGGGTGCCAAGGTGCGAATGCGCTGACTGTTTAATGACAGGAGCTATTTCGTCTTGTATTCGTTTACCGCTGCGTTGCCTCCTTATACAACTTGGAAAAGGCAAGAACAAACTTCGCGGTTTTTTATTATCGATGATGTCGATGTCGTCAAAAGTCTTCCCTCCATAATTTAAGTACGTTCTGGAAATCGGTCACTATCGGTCAGTCGTATAAGCTGTATGGGATAAAGAGTACGTTCACGTATGTCATCATCCGAAAAATGTGTTTGACGTGACGAGTAATATGATATCGTTTGTCACGAATCGAGACCTGGTATTGACACCTTCCGTTAATCGTTTAAAGCAGAGATCACACGATTTATGCATTTGTACAGATTTGTGTCTATAAAAATGAGTTCAGGTCAATAAAAACTTCTCAGACAACACCACTCTGTAACTGTGAAAATTTACAAATCTGTACAAATGTACAAATCGTGTGATCTCTGCTTAACTCTCTTGTAAAATTTTTGGGTGTTCTTCCTGTCGGCCAGCATTTCAAGCTCTTCGCAATCCCGTATTTCAGCCTCTCTTGTTATTGCGGAAATTACGTCTTGCTTCCCTCCTCAGTTCCCTATAACGGTCCCACATAGCTCGCGTTGCGCCCGATCTCAGCGAGGCCCTGTAGGCGGCATATTTTTCTCTGCACATTCTTTACATTCCTCATCCTACCAGTTGTTCTTTCGGGCTCGCTGAAATCTGACTACTTCTTCGGCAGCAGTACGTATTGAGCGGGAAATGTGGTTACACTGCTCGCATATGTCAGTTTGTTGAAGAGTGCTCTCTGACATTCTCATCTCATTCCCACGACAGCCGGTTCTACGTACCGGAATGACTCGGGTTTTACCCGACCAAGGGCTGTTGCTTCGGCGATCTAACCCCGTCTAGATCGGCGATACCCACCAATCATTATCCGTCCATGGAGCAATACCTTGCAGCCGGATTGCTCCGCATCCTTCTTCACTTCGGTTAGGTGCAACTCCTGCAACGGGTGGAGTCACCTAAGAACCTGCTCTGGCCTTAGGTCTCACCGGGAGTGGACCACAAACTTTGTGGCTCCCTGTTGCTCAAGCCAAATGGCACAATCAGCCTCCACGGCTACCCACTCGCGTAATGCAACAGCAAACCTCCCAACACACCCCACCCACACAACCTACCGACCGGTCCCACTCGCGAGCGCGAGCCAACCAGCAGCCACTGGTTGCCCACACCATCTGCTCCGTATGCCAGAACAGAATATACCGGAATGTGACATCAGTCAAATGCAACACATGCCTTGGCTCGCGAGTGGACTACAAACTACAGCGCCCCTTGCTGTAGTGCACCGCCGGCGCAGACAACAACGCCCATATCGCAGCCACCTACCATCAGGCTGCAACAGCAACTGCTTCAGGCGCAACAGGCCCAAGGTAGGCCCCACACTTCCCTCACCCCCCGTATCGCGACCAGCCTCCCAAGGCATATGAACGTACTCCAACTCAACTGCAACGGACTCCAGAGCAAGATTGAGGAGATTGCAGTCTTTATGGGTCGGCACGGCATATTGATAGCTGCGGTCCAAGAAACGAAGTTGCACAGCAACTCAACTCTGTTGGGTTGCGCCGCCTACAATGTGCTCCGTAAAGATCGCGAGCGAGATAATGGTGGAGGACTAGCGTTCATTCTACACCACACAGTGCAGTATCGGCTAATCGAAGAAGACATCGACCCAAGGGACACTACCCTAGAATGTCAGGGCATAGCTGTCCGGTCAGGCGATGACGAGCTCGAAATATTTAACGTGTACATACCCCCTGTGCGCTACTCAGAGGCGAACACCGATTGGTAGTAGGTGACTTCAATGCGCACCACGATCTTTGGCACTCAAGCCTGGCCAATGATCGGAGGGGAAACAGTTTGGCTGAGCAGATAGACGATTCGACATTCTGCACCATGAACGACGACGCCCCCACCAGGATTGTGGGCAGCTGCAGCAGCTCGCCAGACCTAACAATTGCTAGCGCTGGTCTGATAAATAGCATATCATGGCGACCTATGCTAACGTTAGCATCAGACCATCTGCCCATAATCATCTCGATCAATAAGCCCACCGACTTTGCTCCCGCGGATCACCGAACCTACACCAACTTCAACAAAGCTGATTGGAACGGCTTCGCGGAAGTTACCGAGAGCAGCTTCGCCGCCCTCCCCACACCCACAGACGTACATGCTGGCGAACGCCAGTTCCGCAGGGTAGTCACAGCCGCAGCAGCTCGCTTCATACCGTCCGGACGTATCGCGGAAGTCCGCCCGAATTTCCCGGCTGAAGCAGCTGTACTAGCAAATGAGCGTGACCACCTACGCCAGGTCGACCCAGGTCAGCATGGCTTCCGTAAAGTGCACAGCACAACAACAGCACTTAACGCCATAAACACCCAGATAACTCGTGGCCTAAATCGAAACCGCCCCTGTGAGAGAACTGTCCTAGTAGCGCTGGACTTGTCAAAGGCGTTTGACACCGTCTGCCATTCCACGCTGCTAGAAGACATTGAGGCCTCCTCTCTCCCACAGGGACTGAAGCGATGGTCGGCGAATTATATGAGTGGTCGACAATCATCAGTAATCTTCAGAGATCAAACCTCGAAACCAAGAAGAATAAAACAAGGGGTTCCACAAGGTGGGGTTCTCTCCCCCTTACTTTTTAACTTCTACATCTCGAAACTCCCCCAGCCACCTGAAGGAGTTTCCTGATCTCGTACGCTGATGATTGTTCGATTTTGGCGTCTGGGAATGGAATTGATGACCTCTGCTCAAAAGTAAACGGCTATCTCTCCAGCCTTTCTCGCTTCTTCACTGCAAGGAGCCTAACCCTCTCCCCAACGAAATCAACGGCGACCCTCTTCACCACCTGGACGAAGGAGGTCAGGCTTGAATTAGGCATTCACGTCGACGGCACACCTATACCGACGGTGAACAACTCGAAAATTTTAGGGGTTACCTTTGATAGCCTGCTCTCTTTCTCCGCGCACACAACCGCAGTTGTCAACAAAGTACAGAGCCGCAACAAGGTCCTCAAGTCGCTCGCCGGCAGCACTTGGGGCAAAGACAAAGAAACGTTGCTGGCAACATACAAGGCAATTGGCCGGCCGGTTCTAAATTATGCTGCGCCAGTTTGGTCACCGGGGACTAGTTGAACGCAGTGGACGAAGCTACAGACTTGTCAGAACGCCGCACTCCGGACAGCGACTGGGTGCCTTCTGATGACGCCTGAGCATCACCTACACAGTGAGGCCCAAGTGCTCCCCGTAAGGGAACACAACAAGATGCTCTGTAAGCAGTTTCTTGTGGGGTGCCACAGAAGTGAACACCCCAACAGACCACTGCTGGAGGAGGAGCCTCCGCCCAGGCACGTCAGGGGGCACCTATTCATGTACAAGGACGCAGTCCAGACCCACACAGACCAACCACTGGACCCAATGACGTACAGACGAGCGATCAACGACATTCATAGGGAGTCTGTCTCCACCTACCTCGACTCCCGGCCTAGGAATGTCGTTATCGGAGCCCAATCACCACCTGTGGAAGAGACGGAGCTTCAATTACCAAGAGAGACCCGCGTTACCCTGGCTCAGTTACGGTCTGGATATTGTAGCCGCCTAAACAGCTACCTGTCCAGACTCGACCCAAACATCCCAAATGAGTGCCCGGCATGTGGAGAGGAGACTCCCCCCACGACACCAACCACCTCTTCACATGCCAGCTCAATCCGACTCAACTAACACCCCTCTCCCTTTGGTCCGACCCCATCGAAACAGCTCGTTTCCTGGGCCTACCGTTAGTTGAGCTTGACGATAATGATTAAAAGTTGACCCGAAACAGGCGGGGCTTAGTAGTGCCGCTACAACAACAACAGAGCAGTTGTAAGAGTCGAGTGGCGAATGCATTGCTGCGCAGAGACGGATATGCAATTTGGCTGCAACAGAACAACGTTCTGGAAGCGTGCCTTCCGTCTATCCCAACGTGATCGATATGGATACAGCCAAGTAGCTTGTTGGATCTGTTCATACATGAACTTAGTACTGCATACAAATTCTCAATGAGTTTTTGTGGAATGTGCTGGAGTGAAAGCCCATTACCAGATATGAATCTGGGTCGTTCCGGTTACGTTGACCCGATTGTCGTGGGAACGCACATCTAACCACTCGGCTACGGCGGTCGCCATTAAGAGGAAAGATATCATGTATTAAAATCAAATTCAAATTAACATGGACGGCTGAGTCGAAAATCGCCCTATCTTGGCCTCCGGTTCGAAAAAGCTTTCCTCAGATGGCGATTTCTTGAATTTATAGTTTTTGAACCAAATTCTTAAATAGCCGACGATATGTAATTCCGTAGGGGTCTTGGCTGTTGGTGCAACGTGGAACGACTGATTCTCAACACAGGGATTATGTACTTACAAAATAAATTGACACTTAGACTTTAGTCAACAGGATCGCAAGACAGAAATATTATAAAACTGTCAAAATGCTTTCACATTTGCAAATTTATTCTCATTTAATGAGACTATTATTCTTGTTTAATATTAACTAAATGATTACATCCTTTTTTCTTGTAGGATTTGGTGCAAAACCTGACAATAACATTTGTGTCATTGCCAAATGTACCACCCGAAAACATCAAACAAGTAAATTTAAAGGAAGAATTAGTGTCAAATGAAAGGGATACGTGGTTGGATAACCCGACCAAATCAGAATCGGTGATCTCGGGAGATATCTCAGTGACCAACTTCAGCGAAACAGATGTCAATCAGGGCGGAAGTGAAACCAAACCAAATCTAGATCAATTAATGCAAACAGCGGAGGAGAGCGTCCGACGAAGCTTATTGAAATTAACTGGAAGTACAGGCATCTTACCCAATTTATTATACCGCTGCCCTCAACCCACTTGCGGTGGCTTCTTCTCATCCTACGACTTATGGTATAGGCATATGAGTGTGCGCCATTGCTGTATCATTAGTGTGTGTCCACATTGCCCAAATGAAAAGAAAAAGGAGCTACCTTTGGTTGATTTCAAAGTACATTTTCAGCAACACTGTTGTCATCTTTATGGCTGCTACCACTGTGGCGAAACATTTTCCTGTAAGCAGGCAACAATTGATCACATAATACTTTTACATGCAGATATAAGTCCAGATGCTTATGCAATACGAGTCGAGAAAGTGCCACTATACTTTAATCAACCGTTTCATGTACTTATGAAATCAAAGGAATGCGATGAACCGATACTAGATAGATATTGCTTTCTGCTTGCACTGCAAGATATTGTGCTAAACCGTTGCAAATATGTTGAGAAAGTATACTTCGATTCCATAAAAACTCAATGGGTTGTACCATTAACAGCTTCGTGGTTGGAAAATTTCCCAAGCTTCAAAAATAATGATAACATCAAACGGAAATGCTTCTGTCAAAACTGTCCCTTTCAAACATTTAATAATGAAGCTTTTTATGAACATTTGAGA